GTACTCACCATATGGACAAGGCAGCGACTGCTACTTCTGCATTCTTCAAATATCCAGCAAAAAGGAGTAATGCCATCAAATACCATATTTCTAAGCTGCAAATTTGTTCAAAGGATAACAAGTCAAAACTCAGAATAGTGATTATGGCTGACTATTCATAATTTACCTGTAATGCAGCATATGCAGAAATCCAAATTTTCCAGAACGTATTTCAACGTGTAAATTAGTCCCCTTTTTTGTTTGTATTTCCAATTTTTGCCGACGTAATTAGTTAGACTACTCAGTACTCACCAAAGCATCACAGCTGATGCGAGGGATAACTTAACGAATCCCCAAAGACTGTGAAAGGCCTTCCATGAAAACCCAGACCAAGCTCGACCACAAGCCCCACTAAAGATATAGACCAGCTGCGCCACCACAATGAACCACCACGACGCATTCAGCACCACCGCTCCTCCCACCAGTCCCCACCCCAATTTCAGCATCAACAACCAGCTGAACAAAGTGTGCACCACCAACACCACCGCCGATATCCATGCCATAGCCATGATCTTGCTCTGCGCCTGTAGAAACTTGGAAATCGGAAAATTCATCGCATAAGCATAGAGCTGTGGTATCATCCACACAGCCACCTTCCCCGCCGCATTCGATATCTCCTCCGGCTGGCCGATCAGCTTTAATAATGGCGTTGCGAAGATGTAGAAAAACGTGAGTATGAAAGCTGTGCTGTTGAGAACAACCCATGATCTCTGCATGTATATCCCAAGCATATCAAACTGTCCTGCTCCATGGGCTTGTCCACACAGCGTCTCCAATGCGCTTCCCATGCCAAGCTGATNGTTGAGAACAACCCATGATCTCTGCATGTATATCCCAAGCATATCAAACTGTCCTGCTCCATGGGCTTGTCCACACAGCGTCTCCAATGCGCTTCCCATGCCAAGCTGATCAAATTAAGTTTCATCAAACCCATTTTGTTTGAGTAATTATTTCTTTTTTTTTTCTCGACTAATTCTTTTTTAGTCTGGTCCAAAAAATTGTCAACATTAAAATTAANATCAAATTAAGTTTCATCAAACCCATTTTGTTTGAGTAATTATTTCTTTTTTTTTTTCTCGACTAATTTTTTTTTAGTCTGGTCCAAAAAATTGTCAACATTAAAATTAAATATATGGAAATTTAAGATTCGTCATTTTTACCGCTTAAATTACATTGAAATTTGAGTAAATACATACAGAGACTAAAAGTACAATTAATCGAAGGAAAAAATTTACTATTATAGGGGAAAGATGATAGATATAGTACCATGACGCCGAAGGAGAAGCCGGCGATGACGCAGTTTTCTACAGAGAAGGCATCGAGCTCAAGGGTACCCACATGGCCGGTGAAGGTTTGAGTGATGGCGCCGAGAGAGTACTGGCAAAGGGATGTGAAAATGGCTGGACCAGCGAGGTACCAGAGTTTTCTGGACTCGACACAGAATTCTTTGAAGAAATCTCGAACTCCAGTGACCGGAGGGATGTCGTCGGCATCTGCTACGAAGGATGAAGAAAAAGAAAGGTTTGATGATCTCACAAGGTAATCTTGCACTTGGGGCTGGTTAAATGGGGTTTGGTTTTCTTCTCTCTGGGAGAGAAGTGGCTCCGTACGGTCGGTCTGCATATGTGTGTGTGAGAGAGACGGTTGTGTACGTGGTAAGGCAAGCCTAGATTAGCTCACCAAGGCAACCACAGCGGGTCATTGGAGTTTGTAAAAATTGAAATCTATTATTTTCATAAAATTAATAAAAAATAATAAAAAAAAAACCGCAAAATAGGACACTCAAGAGGTGGGGTTTTGTTCCAACCCCACCGAAGGTTCCGAAAGACATCAAGACGGCTCTGGGATAAGTATCATTTTTGTGAGTTAAAATAATTAAATTTGTGAATTAAATTTATTATTTTAATAAAGGACGAAGAATTTTAAATTTGTTTTTTTAATTTTTTAGAAATAAAAATTATTTTTAAATTTGGCCCAACAAAGAAAATTCTTCCAAAATATTTTTTCGCCCAATAATTTCAACAATCCTTACTCCAGGACTAAGAAAATTTTTTCAAATACATCTGTCGGTCAATCTGTTACACAGTATACTCGCATCCTAACAATACGTTTATCACACCCTCTCTTAACTTCTCTCTCTACCAGTGACATCACACAACCGCTGTCATCCATCACCGTTATTCGCCATTTTCACTAGGGTTCTCTCTCTCTTCGCTTTTGTTTCTATCTCTCGGCGTTTATCTCTCTTTCACTCCAACCCCAAACCCCCCCCCTAAAACTCCAACCCAGAAACCCCCAATCGCACTCTTTCTCTCTTCACTTTTGTTTCTATTTCTCTCACCCCACCCTAGAAACCCCTCTCTTCCCAAAAACTCCAACCTAAAAGCCCCAACCCATTTTGGTTCACTCTCTCAAACCCAATCCCATTTGTTATGTTTATCTCTCTCTATTTACTTCATTCGTTCCTAAATATCTGTCGTTTTATACAATTTTTTTGTTCCATAATATTTGTCGTTTTATGAAACCAAAGCATAATAAATATTTTTTTTTCAAATTTACCCTTATCTCTATTTTCCAATAAGTGTTTAATAGATCAAGTGTAGACTAAGTGTCTTTCATATTTCTTTCTTTCCCAATATGTATTGAATAAATGTATTTTAGTCTTGTGTAATTATTTTTTACTCATATTAGAACTATTTAATAACTTCCTTAATCCCTATGCAAAAATTTTAAACGACAGATATTTAGGAACGGAAGGAGTATTTCATGGTTTTGATCATGGTTGCCACGATCGCGGGTCAGTTGGGTACATGGTACAGGTACAAGTACGTGATACGGGTACAGGTGCGGGGTACGTTACCTTTTTCGGTACGCGGTGCTATGGGGGTAGATTTAGTTGGTACGCTATTTTGGACCGTGGTTCGCTTTGATCTATTATCCAGATCGTTTTCATTATTACAAAGAATTATATAAATATATACATTATAAAATGCAAATCAAGACCAACAACAACACATCAACTAATAATCATGTATAAAAAAATAATGATTGCATATTTTATTATCAAAAAAAGACAACATATAAATTTAAAAACTTAAAATTTTAAAAACAACATACTAGAGAGCGATTAAATAACTTTCTACTTAAAGCACAAATCAAAATAACAATCTTAAATATCTAACAAGTCTCAAATAAAAATTACTTAATAATAAGAAAAAATTGGAGCACATGAGTTAATTGTCAACTCTTTTCCCTTTATTTTTCATAGTGTTCCTTCCTCTAGCAAAGTTACTAATTTGAGCCTGATGTAGTCCAGAATGACAGAGCGGTGGCCTGCTAGAACTAGTAGGTGGTTTGTCAATAGAGACGGGCATAGAAGCATGTAAGGATGAAACTTTTCAATCTTCGTCTCCAGCAATGGTAGAGCTATCTATATTGTCATCCCATAATGATTTTCATCGCAAATCCTACAATCTCACACTAAAATTATCTATATATGTGTGCTCTGGATTTATGTTCCATTTCTTAAAAGGGCCATCTTTTTAGCTTTCATTGAAATGTGATTGAAGACGAATATTTAAATGGATGAAAAACAATTTGTTAGCTCTAGTAGAATTCAATTTGTTTCTCTTGATATTGTGAATAAATGAATAAATGCTTCAATTTTTTTCAGCTGAAGAACTTGTAATTGGTTGTGATAACACCTTTTATGAAAAAATAATAAGACACATTAATAATGAAATTAACAATAAAAATAAATACCTTGTAATTTAAATTAGTACTTTTTTTGCCATTTCTGCTAATTCTGGAGTTTCTGAACCATATGTCGACCACCAATCAATAGCATCCAAGGTCACAATATCTGTTTGAGTTGCCGTCATAGCATAAAGACCTTTTCGTGAGTGAAAGTGTACATACTGTTCTCACAATTGTTTTGCTTCTTGTACATCTTTTGCTATTTTTTCAAAAGCTTCCATAACACCTATGATGACCTCTCAATCTTGATTTAGAGTTTTCCTAACTATACCTCCCAGTGCTAGCTTAGTAAGATATTGGTTATCAAAAAACCATGGTGTTAGTACAAACCCAAGACAATGCAAAGGAATATTCATCTTCTCCCATCTGTCAAGCAAAATTTTTTCAATCTGGAAAAATTTATCAACATGTTTTCCACCCTTCATAATATCTTTTATTTCACCAAGCATATTGTCCATCTTCTCATAAATCTCACCCATTTGTTTTACCTTTCCCATCACAAAATTTAATAAGAAAAAATATAGACTTTGTGATACTTATGTTATTCTCCACATCCTTCCAAAATTCTTCACTAATAACGATTTTTGTAACCAAAGCACATAACTTTTTTTTTTTGTTGGAACCTCAACTGTACGAGGGAGATTTTATTGATTAAAAATTGAATTACACCTAGCTAGGGGAGACGTATGCACCTTACCCCCTCGATGCAATCTAATTACATAGTCGAAAATAAAAATAAAGAAAAGGCAAAAATGCATGCATAGTACAAATAATAGGAAGAACTTAAAGACTATACTAAACATGTTGCCTAAAATTAAATTAGAGCTAAGAGCTTGAGCTGAGCAGCAAGAAGAGATGTGGGCAATAGCTAAGAACGTAGACAACTGAGAGCCTGAGTTAAATTCAGCTGTAAGCTTGCACTGAAAGTTGCTGGAGCTGAGAGCTATGACAAGTAGAGTCCAATCATCTCCTGCAATAAAAGACCAGCTAGGCAAAGCACTATAACTAAATACAGGAATAATTTGATAAGGGTAGATAAAGAGACAAAATAATAAGCTATGCATATGAAAAGGCAGATCTGAAAAGCAACAAGGCAGATCCGATAAGCAACAAGGCAGATCTGATAAGCAGCTGAAAGGGCATCTTGAAAAAGGCAACTGATAGGCAGCAAGGGGAAGAATCTGAACAGAAGGATGTGCAATCCTTAGAGCAGACTTCTGCATTTTCAATGAGAGAAACATCCTGAGATCAAGTGAGGCCCAACAATCTAGTTGTCTTTTTCCCATGATCCAACAGATGAAACAAGAGCAGAAAACCAAAAGCAGAAAATCCTCTATCCTCTGATTCATAAGGGCATAGACTATAAGCATGGCAGAAGACAAGTATCCAGCAAGAAAACCAGAGAAATAAGAAAATCAAAGCATCTGAAGCCAAAGAGGAGAAAGTTCATCCTCCAGCTAAGATTTTTGTTCTCAAATTTCTTATTTGCATTGCATCCTGTCTCATAAGTAGATTAATTTGTGAAGGAATATTTTCTGTGCAGTCATATGTGATGGAAAGTCTATCTAATACCCCTTTATTTGCAAAAGCATATGCAACCTTGTTACTTTCACGATATGTATGTTGTATCTGGTACTTGAATTGCCTTAGCATAGCAAATATCTGAACAAATAAAAGTCCACAATTTCCATGATGTTTGAACTCTCTGATTCACCATATCAACCAGCATCTTAGAGTCTATTTCAATAATTAAATCATAATCTTGAAGCCCATAATTGCGCAAGAGACATAGACCACTTAGTGAAGCCTGAATTTCTGCCTCCATATTCGTGCAAAAACCATAATAATAAGACCCAACAAGAAGCAACTGGCCCTTAGAATTTCGCAAAACTGCTCCTTCTCTTGATTCCCCAGGATTACCTTTAGAAGCTTCATCTATATTGAGCTTAATCAGACCTTCCCCTGGAAATTTCCAAGCTATCCACCAAGAGATCATCCTCACCTCTTTAAACTGAAACACATTTAAGGAATGCAACAACTCCTTCTCCTGTGCTGAATCCATATCCTTTGGCCTAACAATGTAAACCTGTAGCCTCAGAAAGTGCACAATCCGCCTAACCAAAGTGTAAGGATGCAACCTTTCTTCCTCAAAGAGTCTTTTACATCGTTCCTGCCATAACTGCCAATACACCAACAAAGTTATTCCCCTTATTCAAGCATGACTAACTGAAGAGTGTTTAAACTCTCTCACAAACCTCATAAATCTTATAAGAGGTCCTTCATTGGCAATCAAACGAAGACCTAATTTCTTTGAAATTAAGTCCCATACTACCCTTGCTTATCTACATTGTATAAAAATATGACCAGCAGATTCACAGTCCGACTGACACAAAACACATCTACTGGCCAAATAAATCCCTCTCTGCTGAAATGTTTCATCCATAGGTAATGCACGTTGTAGTATTTTCCATCCTATTAATCTTGCACTAGGTGAAACAAGTTGTTTTCAAATAGTTGCTGCTTGGATACTGACTTGACCCTCCAACCTTACAATATGCCATGCTGATTTTATATAGAAATAACCCAAAGAAGTAGGCTTCCAAATGAGCCTATCTCATTCTGAATTCTGAGCCAATTGACAAGATAACACCTCATGCAACAAGTCATCATCAAGAGCATGCTGAATATCTCCTAATTCCCAATGTCCATTCACATACACTTGGGAGAACTTTGGGAACACTGTAGGTTTTGCTGTATTCCTACGGACTAGAGGTCCACCACCTGACCAATTATCACACCAAAAATCTATAGTAGAACTAGTTCCAACCAGCATTTGGGTATTCTCCACAGCTAACTCAAACCATGGA